TAATATCTTATATATCTTTTGATTTTATAGATCTTACTATTCTTTTAGCAAAATTTTCTATCATATTTTTTGTAAAACATTTTAATATTTTTTGAGATGCACTCAATTGTTCTTGATATGCAACTTTATCAAGTTCAATTTCTTTTTTATCTTTTGTAATTTTCTTAATATTGTATGGTCCTCTTTTAGTTCTAGATTTTTTATAATTTTTATTTGTCATTTTAAAATCTTGGGCTTGGTTGTATTCTTTTCTTATTTTGGGTAGCTTGGATGTAATTATTATCTTTAGGGGTATTTTAGGTAGTTATAAGGTTTAAAAAAGTCAAAGGCTATTTTAGAAAGGGTATGGTTGAATTTTGAGTATTTTCAATAATTTCCCCAATTTTTTGCGTTCTCTCTTTTCCAGCAACATGACAAGATTACTTCTCCCGTACGTGGATTAATTGAATTGAACCAACAAAAGAATGCTTGAACGGGTTTTTCTTTCCAAGGCAATAGGTCAACACTGTAGTTATAAATATTGCTAATCTTTCTTGTGTATGCAAGTACTTAATTAAGAAGAATGATAACATAATTATTTAAAACTCAATCATTCCACGATAATTGGCAACTGCCGAGCACTTTGTACTGTGGACTTTTCAAAGTAAACCAAGGCACCAGCTAAGACGTTTGACTTTCCCAAAAAAGGAAAATATAAGGTAACTATGTCATGCAATCTACACGGAAACAAACTTTTGTTGTCTAAAGAACAGTCATTGAATTGTCTTCCATGACGGTTTTAGAATATTTGTGGGAACGAGTGTTATAAAAAGTTAATCTGATAAAACCTCAATGTATGTATCCAAGACAAATTCTCTATTTATCATCTGCCAGAAATTTCAAATGAACTAGTAGACATTTCCCCTACAGAAGATGAGAGAATTGATGATGTTGTGACAATACTGTCATCAGTTAATCCTAAAGCCATGAATCTTGATCTGATTTGATCAGCTCTCTGGGATCTAACTGAGCTTAATTTATCAAAAACTGGCAGGATTTCATCCCTGTTAAGATATCTTATCACTTGCCTCATTGTAGGCCTTGATTCCGGCTTTCGATGAGAGCACAAAAGACCAAGTCCCAACACTAATTCCATCTCTTCGATTGCATAAGTCGAATTCAGTTTAGGATCGACTGCATCGAGAATGTTGCCTGTCTGGAGACAATCCAAAATCCGATCCACTAATATCGTGTTGCGATCTGGTTCATATGTGACTGGTGCTCTTCCACAGGCAATTTCAAGAAGTAGAATGCCGTATGCAAAGACATCAGTGCTTTTCGAGGCCTTCCCGGTTCGTGTCAATTCAGGCGCAATGTATCCGATTGTACCTACGACATTTGTGGTGTGTGAATTTTGACCATGGTCGTATAATCTTGCTAGTCCAAAGTCTCCTAATCGAGCATTCATGTCGCGATCTATCAGAACATTGCTCGACTTCACATCACGATGGATTACGACCTTCTCCCACTCTTCATGTAAATATATCAGCCCTGATGCAACGCCTTTGATGATATTGAATCTTTGTTCCCAACTCAAAACAGTGCCCTTGGAACCATAGAGTAAAGAATGAAGACTTCCATTGGGAACATAGTCATATATTAAAAGAAGATTTCTTTTGCACTTACACCAACCTTGAAGATTGACCAAGTTTTTGTGTCTTAACCTTCCCAAGCTTTCGATTTCAGCTGCAAATTCTCTCGTTCCTTTCAATGTATCGTTCGATGTTATCTTTTTCACAGCAACCTCGGCTCCGGTAGCCCGTAAAACCCCCTTGTAAACAGTTCCAAATCCTCCAACTCCAATGATCTCACTCTCCTTAAATCGCTTAGTGGCAACATAAAGATCCTTGTACCGGAACCGGTGAGGGCAATCCAATTCCCAGTCCTCCAAAGCCTCAAACTTCATCACCTTTCGATATGCAAAAATACTGATCAACGCCAATACTAATAAAAATAACGCAACTGAAAAAGTGGAAATAAGTGCTATTTGCAGTTTATTTTGGGAGGAAGATGATTTTTCTGCTGGTATGGCAGAAAACTGAGAAACATCAAGTGGATCAGCTGTCCCATTTAGCTTGAAACTCCATCCGAGGATGTAATGAGAACTCGTCTTTTCCCCTGTGGCTGCTGAAAATCCAGCATACATATGAACCTTCATCACTAGTGACAAGTCCATCGATTGAGATAAAAGCGGCTTAATTGGTTTGGAAATTGATAAAGGTGCAACTGTTACATTCACTGCCAATCCATCATAATCTATCCAAGCCTGGATTGGTTGGTCGCCTTCCAAATCAATCTCTTCCTTTTTCTGAGTCCACCCTTCGTAATACGATGCCGATTCCGTGGCAATGGAATTCATTCCGTTGACGTTAATTCCGATATGGTTCCCGTAACTGTCCGATTTCTCATTGTCTCCAATAACCGTGTCGAATTCGCCCATGAAAATATGGTTTGAAGAGTTTCTATCNCATTGTATCCATTAACCGTGTCGAATTCGACCATGAAAATATGGTTTGAAGAGTTTCTATCTTTTGATGAGTCGATGACTCCTAGGAATTGTTCCCCGTCGGCCCCAGAAAGTTGCGTCGACGGGGATAATATGAAGGCGAAGCCATAGCCCCCTCTGTTAGCATCGGAAGGGACAATTTGGAAAACAAAATGAGTGCTAAATGAAGAGACACCAGAGCTACTGCTCTTGAACATAGGAATTTGATGAGGATAAAATGCATGGCCTATTACATTCTGGGATCTATCAGTAAGTTTTAATGCTTTGCCCTTGATTCTGGCAGATCCATCTCGGACAAGACTTGATTCATTGAATTCATTGTATACAAAATCAAAGGACTCAGATTTCAAGAAAAGGCTGCAGAAAAAGAGAAGAAGACCTAAGGAACACAAGGGTTTAGCCATGGAGGAAATGAAAAGTAAAGAAATATAAATTCAGCTCAATTTGAACAAATGAACTTATATAAACAATAGAAAGTTAGGATTCAGACACAGAGAATAAATCAACACAATGGGGTATTTGACCACAGACCGGCACCACGCTTGAGTTCTGTGGGGACACCTTCGATAGTATCCACTCAATCAATCACTGTGATATCCAACCATAACTTAGTTGCATGTTATCTCTTTTTTAGAGAATTAGCCCGGTTTGACGATCATTACTATACATACTCATTTTCAATCCGCATTTATACAATAAAATATTTTGCACGTAAATTCAAAATTTTCTCCACTTTCTAAACATATATTCTCCAAAAATTTACTATTTAAAACTTTGTTTTCATCAAATAATGACTATCAAACGAGGGATTAGGCTATCTCTATCCTAGATAATTGAGAATTCTAATTAAAGTGCATATTAAGAAGAATTATATTTGGGATACTATTGTGGAATCATATTCGAGTTTACTTGACGAAATCTAGTTGAAGTTCTACTAGGGGTGGCAACGAGCCGAGCCGGGAAA